ATAAGTTTAATAAAAAAATGTTATAGTACAACAAAGAAAAAATAATATCGAGTATGTGACACAGTTATAACGTCGAATTAAAAATTCTTTAATAATGAAATATCCATTCTCTTTATTTCAAAGATTTGTCATATATTAATTCTCGATAATTCATTAATTTTTAAATATTTATCTGATATGATTTTTTATACGTAATGTTAAAAAAATGGTAAACGAAATAGATATCGATTTTCTTAAGCTGTGTAATACGGAATCTTTAATCTTCGTTTTCAAATTCGATACATCCATCACGCATTTACTTCATCCCTGAACAAATGGATATTGAATACTCAGTTCTAATAAAAGATGTTAAATCGAAAGTTTAATTTTGTCGAAATTAGTCGCCTGCGTTCAACGAACTTTCAAGAATCTAATCGCCTGGAAGCAATATAGAGGACGTTGTAATATCCCATTCCCCGTACGAATCTCGTACTGCGCACATTGATCCTCTTAAATTCCCATGTACCTTCCGTCTTGGCATTAGCATATTATCTCACCTCCGTAACCCCCCTCTTTTCTCTCGTCGCAGTCTCCCTTCGGCCTCCTTCTGGCACCTCGGTCCCCCTTCTGATTCGCGAAGGACTTCTCAGACACTCGAGAGTTTGTTTTAAAACTCAGATAATCGTTCCAAACTCTCTTCGTGTCTTTCTCTTTCTCGTTCTTATCCTGTGTCTATATTCTCTGCTCTGTTTCCTCTTTCAGTCCTCTCCCTGCCGTTCTCCATGGAGTCCCAAGAGGAAAATTAGACCGAAATAAAAGTTCTCGCCAATTTTTAAGCGCGTTACACTTGTCTCTAAGGAGGATGAGATTACGCGGCTCGATCGAAGCTCCTCGTCGGGAGAAACGGAGCTAAAACTCCAATGAGTCTTTTCACCGTCGTTACTATTTGCGGAGCAACGGCGTTTTTTTCTTTAATTGACTTTCTTTTAAAGATACGAGCTTCTCAACTTCTTTATCCCAGAATTATTTCTGGATATCAAAAAGTAAACTTTTTAATATTCGGATGAAGTTATTAATTACACTTAAATGGAGCGTCTCGCGGCGTCGTCTAACAATAGAAAAACTATCGATTTTAAAGTAATCCCCGTGCATAAAACTCGCATTCCAACATACGATAAAGTTTCAATAGGTCGACCAAGATATCGGAAACGATCCGTCATCCGTCTTTCCACCGAGACAACTCGATTGTCGATGCTGACGGCTGAAGGCGGTCCAGTCTCGCCACTTCCTTTCATTCCCTCGATTCTCCCTCTCTCGATTCACCCTAGATCAGGCATACTCGAGTTATTCGTAAGCAACATTCTCCGGCATTATTCGCCAAAAGCGCGGTGGATTCTCCCAGGGCGGCTGAGAAAGATTGGGACAGCTGTCTGTTCTCAGGCAATCAGAAAAAACTACCTTCCTACCTTCCCTTCCTTCCTTCCACCATCCGTCGACGGTACTTCGCCGCGGCTTAAGGAGAATACAAGGGTGGCAGCTGCCTCCAGGACGAGCACCCTCTTCGCGGTTTTTAAGAATCTTAACGCCTTTCTCTCTTTATATCTCCATCTTCTGTCTCTTTTCCTCTTATGTGCTTTATAGCTGTTCTCAGTTTCGTTCTTGTATTTTATAGCGTTAAATCTAACGAGTCAACATTTTTTTCTTTTAGAATTTTTTTCCTATTAGTACTTAAAGAATATCTTAATTGATCTAAACTCACATATTGACGTTTCACTTCAGTCATTTATTTGTGCACGATTATATTTGCGATCTTATTTCCATCTGAGACAAAAGAGTGTTGCAATACACGTGTTAATTCCTCTTATTTAGATGCAAAATGTGAAACGACCCTCGGGCTAACTAGTAGATATCTTGAGTGTTCTCCGCGATCGAAGATATTCACGCTCCAGGAACGAGATGTCAAGAGGGATCCATCAGGCTTTAGCGTAATAGATGCGCAGACGACATTAGCATGCCACGCCGATTATTGGCATTAGTCTGCCATCCCGTTATTTCGCACACCGGTCATTTATAACCCGTAAACCCTCCGAGCGAATCGATATTGCGTGTGAAAGCTGCTGGATCGCGCAATATCGCGGAATACACCGCGGACGTGCCAATTTTTTCCGATTGACGGTACCAGAAATTTACACGAGGAAAAAAAACAACAGCATCGATTTCCCCGTGTCGGGCAATAAAAAATATTTCGTATTAATTAAAGCGACACGTCTCTTATATCGTTCGAGAATTGACGAGTTCACGAATTTTTAGACGTGAGACGTCACGTTCGATCTCGTCGAGGTAGATTTGCGCGCGCCTGAGAGTTTCTGAAAAATGTTTTCACGATACATTGCTAAATTTGTTTAAATTTGTTTTGTCGCTATCGGTTACACTATATATAACGTCATATTAAATGTTAACGTTATATAATATTAAATTTGTTCAATGTTTTAGTATAAAATAATGAGATATTGAGTAGGAGCAGTGGTGGACTTAAATTAGGTTAAATTTGACACTATAGATTTAACAGTGTATCTTACATTTACGTGAGTCGAGTAGTTCTTTAAATATTATAAGCGACGTGCTCATACTCACCCACGCACGCACGCACGAATAGAGTCACAAGGGTTACCAACCCCTGAATTACACGCAGCTCGCTCGCGAGGGCGGTTAAGGGTAGCGAATTTGCATATTATAAGTAGTACATGTTATCGAGGTTGATATCATCGAGGTAGGGACCTCGTTATTCTGTGCATGCGTATGATTCGAGCGTGCGACGTGCGCATCTATGGTCTTAGACCGCTTCTAAGAGACGTTCAGAAGATTCAAACTCTCGCGACAAACACTTTAGCATAGCTTGTTAACGATTTCTAAATAAAGGAGATGACGGTGAGCGATATTATTAGGTGATAGTCGATGACGCGTTTAACAACTTAATTTTTGTGAGAAAATGTTTTATATAAAAATAAATAAAAAGATTCGTGTCTTTTATAATTTAGAAAGAATGACTTTGCTGTATTAAAAAATTTAGTTAGATATAAATCTCAAAATAATTTTGTTAAACTATCAAAGTAATTATTAAGCCGATCAAACTAATTGCTAGAAGAGATTTTTTGTAGCTTTGCTCATCATGTTCGATAATCCTAAACTGTTAAATTTATAATGTTAAATTATATTTAAGTTGAGTTTTTAATCATTTCTATAGGTCGCTACTGCTTCTATTCAATATGCCATTAATTTAAAACAATGAAGTTAACAATTTAACTCAAGAAAATGTATTAAATTTGATGCAAGTTTTTAGCTCATTTATTAAGTGCATACATTATTATGGACTTTAAAACTAACTAGAAAAATTAATTGATTAATTGATTTATATCTTGACACACATGAAAGTTAAAAATGACAAAATGTTATTTTCAACTCAAGGAATTAGGTTAGGCATTGCTTTTTTTGATCTAATAGTATCCATAATTATTTTGATCCAACAAAATTATTTTTAGATCTGTATGTAGCTAAATTTTAGATACTTCATCAAAATTATTCTTTGCGTATAGATTTTTATTGATTATTTTGAACATAAAATGGAATATAATAACGAATTCTAATATTGCAATAATAAAATAGTCTTTTTCTACCTATATTAGTATTAATTTGATCATTCTTCTAAGTAAATATCGCGAATTAGAATACGTGACAAGTTATTGTGCAAGGAAGACGGTGAAATCCTTGCAAGACGGCACCCGGATTAAATAGATAGGCTCCTAAGGTCGAGTAGGACGTAGTCCTTCGTGCGGCAGGAGCTTAAGATATTGTTTCGAAGCAACGCTGTTGCCTTAGGATAATCAAGAAGACTTAATCCCGACAAGCTTAACGCCGATGAGTTCATAATTCTGGACGTTCCTGCTCGTAAAACTTACCTCTCTCCTTCTTGCTTGTCATTTGTCCCTTATTATCACAATTTTTACACATATTTTTACTTTAATTACATAATTAAATACATTGTGCATTAGGAAAAAATGTAGTGTCTTCAGCAAAACTGTTTAGTTAAGGCATTTTTAAATAAGTAATCAAATACTTTATTTGTATGACAAAAAATTTAATTGCTTTTGCAAAATAATTTCTTTGCTTTGTAACAAAAATATTTGTTTATAGTTTGCATAAAATTATAGCTTTGTTTGGTACATTTAACCAAAAATGTTTGTTTGGTATATTTCAACCAAATTTTTGTTGTGTAGTAAAATTTTGGTTCACAGAACAAAACATTTTGCCTAGTGTGTATATTTTTTCACAATTTTCCAGAAAGAAAAATTTATTTGTAATGTTTTTCTACTTTTTAAATGTTCTTTTAAATCTTGTTATTCTTGCTTCAAAATCGATAGGAAATTCAAGATTATTTTCTCGCGCCATAAAAGTTCTTAAATTACTTTTTCAATTAATAAAAAATTCGCTATTATAAGAAATTGTTTCAATGATCTTGTAGTTTTATGAAATAGCTTTCAGAAGTCTAACGATCTTCGCGAAGAGTAAATTCTTTTGCACGCTTCCGAGCGAAGTAGGAGCGAATCGTTAAGGCATGCGACGAAGCTTGCTTAACGGGCAGAGCTTAATTAATAAGGACACGCGATATCCTAACTCGTAAGACGATGGTAGGATGATAAAGCATAGCTGAAGCCCTCGGGGGAGTCCTTTGTTGTCGAGAGGGTCAGGACAGGCGACCTGCCACTTTAACCCGCCTTAAGGGGTTGCGCCTTGAGGAGTTCGAAACCTTGCGAGTTTGAAACCCGATGGCCAGGGTCCAGAAAGGAGATTCCACGATGCGCTCTATTGTAGTTTACATAAAGTTATCTTGTAACGAAAATATGTTTATTGATCGATAGATATATATCGATACATATACTCTCTATAACAACATAAACCTATAACTCGTCCTATCGTTGTGCGCAAGTTTCGCAGATAATAGAAACAAATGCAAATTGTTTTACCGGCGGCTGAAGATGGGTCACTTGTCTCTTGATGTGTGCCAAAGTCGCGCTAGGCGGAGGATGCAAGGCCATATTGGCAAAAACCAGCCTCTCTTCGTAATCGTACTCGCAGAGGATCTTGTTATCGCAGAGATAAAATCTGTCGCCCACGCAAAATCTGCAATCAGAAATTAATTTTGTCGTGTTACAATTGTTATGCTGCATAGTAAAAAAAACATTTTATACTTATATCAAAATCGGTCTTTGTTAAAATACGTTAAATTTTTACAATAATATTCGAAATTAATTTAGTATAATATAATATGATTGTTTTATTTGAATATTTTGTGTTAAATTGATATTCGATATTTTTTAGATACTAAAATAACATAATTTATGAATAAGTGAACTGTAGCAGGAAAATTATATATTTTAAAATGTAAATTTTAAGATAAATGGATTAATCAGGAAAAGAAAATGTGTTAATCAGATAAGATAAATAATTTGATTTTTGGTCAAAGTGAATCTAATGCTTAAACACAATATTTCTGTATCAATTTATATATTTATTCAATTTATATATTTATTCAATTCTGCAAATCGCGCATCGAAATCTTACTTAGTCTTAAAATCATCAACAAAACTAAAAAAAGATTTGTGCAGAAGAATTGGATATATATATATATATATATATAAATTCATCGAAATACATATTTAAGCATTAAGATTCGCTTTGATCGAAAATGGATTATTTCTCTTAATTGATTTAGTCTCATTAGTCTTAATTTTGAATTATAATTGTTTATATGTGTTAGTTTAATTATTTTATAAAGAAGAAATATGATTTTACAATTTGCTGTGTTAATGTTATAATATGTTAATTTTTAACGTAATATTTGTATAATTATTTCATCTACAATCTAGATCTTTTTTGCCCAGTCCATTTGTGTTACTGTTCCAGAATTTCAAAAAATATGAAAAAATTCATGATTCTTTTCAACATCTCTATTACATTACCAATAGTTTTAACACAAACATTAAAATTCTCATTTAATAAAAATTTAAGCAAAAATGGGGAAAAGAAATTTAAAAATGAAATTTTGCTTGTATCAAAAAAGATTCAATTGCAAAAGGAGGGTTAAATTAATACAAAAAATGAATGAGCCATTTGAGACATGTAAAAATGTGTTAAATTTAACGCAGACTCTTCAATATTATATATTTCTATATTATTTTGGATCGAGAATGCATGATCTTAGTGATATTATTACCATGTTAGAAAAGTCAGGAGGAAATAGCGAATAAACGAAGATATACATTATCATATTGATTCACAATTTAGAAGTGGCGAAGGACCGGAAAGAAATTCCGTTTACGACTTACACGAAATCGGTAGAGCGGTAAAGTGTTAATTTCTTTTAAGGTCACTTTCCGTTTTTGCTCCGTCGAGGAAATTGCTAGAAAATAAAAACAAGGCGAAATGCCGCCCTTCATCCACTTTTTCCGGCGTCTCTCAAGGCTCTTAAATGTAAATTTTCAGTCGATTCCCAGACATCGTACTCAGATTACCCGCGATTGGAAATCTCTGCACTTCTCCCACATTCTTACTTTCTTCTTTCCCTTTACAAGTTAACTCTCTTTCTTCCTTATTGATGAGGTATTTACTCCTTCAGACCTGACTTTATTGAAACTATAGTTAAAACAAGTTTTTTGTCTAATTCAATTCAAGAGCACCTTAATAAGTAATTCATATATTAAACAATTAATTTTTTAAATTAAAAATTTGATTTTTTTTCAACATATATACATTATTATGTATATCTCAGATGTTGATAGAAAATAATTTCAATGGTTAATGTCTTTAAATTTCATGTGCACGTATAATGTACGCAAGATCTGAAGGGGTTAAACAATGTCATCTGATACGATAAAAAATTCTTTAGCAGATCGTGTACAAGTTTGACGTCTGTCCATTCTCGAATGTCAACAAATAAAATCCGAGAGACGGCACCGAAGAGTGTATTTTAAAATTCAGCATATAAAAGTCCGGGATTTTGGAGTAATCCGACACGATATACATACCGCTGCACGCGGATTTCGGGATGGCGGCGAGGTACCGAACGTGCTCGGTTTGCGATATCAGAGAAATAAGGTTGCCACCGAGGGTTATACGCATCGACCAACTGTCGCTCTCGCGAAGGGGCGGGCGGGCTGGCGGGGCCTTTAAAATCAAAGATTTCACATTTTTCGTTTTTATTGCCGGTTTAAAAGTCAATTTTTTCTCTACCGCGTTCTTTTGGGGGAGAAGGCGTCCGTATAAAGGACGTTACGCCGGAAATGCTAAAGAGCCACGAAAGGGGGCTCGTAAGAACGGCCGGCACTTCCACTGCGTCACAATGGATCGAAGATCCACGAGGGACACGAAAATCGTTTTGCTAGGATCCACGGGAGCTTGAAAATTCCCGTCAGGCGCCGGGCACATCACTCTCCGGACGTTATACATACCGCGTATCGATCGCGCGATATGACAGGCGTGTTCGCGCGATTTGTCTTACAGAAGAGTCTCGCGGAACTTCCAGTCCTCTTTGGGACATGTCGAATCCCTCGGATATCATTAATGTAGACCATTCGGCGACAATCTATTCTCAGCTTTATTTCTTATAAGGCTTCGGATATTGCTATATTAGCTTTGATTTTATGCTATTTTTTAAACTCGATTCAATAAAATAATAAAAGGAACGTCCTGAGTTTGCAGTTGGAACAATTTTCGATAAGTTATACATTTGTTTCAAATGTAATAATGTACATGAAAATTTTTTATATAATATTACGATCATGATCACTAATTGATTTAAAAAGTTTTTAAATTTTATAAATTAATTTAGACCGCTATGTGTAATATAATAGAGTAGATCGAGACAGCGAGAAATATATTTATGTTAAAAATGGTTCAATCTCTCTCACACACACACACGCGCGCGCGCGCATCTTTGTTAAAACTTTGTGTTGAATTTTTAACATATTATTTTATCATTGATGTTTATTTTTTAATATCAAAATAACGTAATTTAAGTAAGTGATATAACAAAAATAATGCATTTTAAAATATAAATTTAAAGAGAAATGAATAAAATATTCATGTTAATTTAATATGTCATAAATATTAATTTTTCTGAGAAAATATACTTTTACAATTTGCTTACAAAATATATCAATGTTACATTTTTTTATTAACACATATTTGTGTTACTTTCTGTTTTCCTAACAAAAATTATTTTTAGCTGAATTTTTAGATATTTCAAAACTGTTATAAACTATTATAAATTGTTTACTTCAAAATCGTTCTTTCCAACTAAAAATCTTTTAATTATATAAACTGCGAACCGCTTATTGTTGGATTTGAAACGTATAGCTCAAAAAAAAGTGTACCTCGATACTGGCAATGCTTCTCAACGAAACGAGTAACTTTCTGTCAAAGACGTCAATGAGCCGTGTAAACTCCACATCAGTGCAAATGGTCGGGAGTAAAACCTCTATACCTTCGCGTTTGTAATTCACTGGTGAATAATAAAAGTATTTTTTTGGTAAGGAAGTGGTAGAAGGGTACATCGACTACATACGGCCATTGCGTATTCAACGGATGTGCTGTCCCGCGCATGAGATCCTGTTTCGGTTTTATGTCGGGATTTCTCTGTCGAGTGGTTTATACCGGCGCTTATGTAAATGCAGACGTGATTTTTTTCAGCACCTACTCAAGCCACCTGAACGAGCGCGCGCAATACATTTGTAGCATTCGAAACGAGCCACTCGGCCGACGTCTCCTTTCGAGAGAACCATGAAATCGTAATGAGGTTTTACGACATATCCGGTAGAATCTGCATTTTTTTCCGGTGGACTCAGCGACGCGTCTTCGCGGCTGCTGAGCAATTTGTACGTCGACGAAATTAATGTACGCAAGTCGCGAAACAGACATATCTATTTTACATATAAAATTTGATTTGATATAAAATAATGAATATACGTGATTATGTAAAATCCTGTAAAATTGTGTAAAAATTGTAATTTCTTCAAAGTTTACTTAGCTGATAATTTTGATGAAATAATTCTGCGAAAAGTATTTTTTCCAGAAGTGATTATCTATTGTGTGATAGTAACCGAAAGACATTTATGATACTCATTGTAAATGAGAACAAATTTGAGTTGATTGAAATTCTTGATATAGATGCTTGATATAGATATGCTGTACAGTTTATCGGTTTCAAAACAAAGTATTTGATCGACAATCATATTAGTTATGAGGAGTTAAGACTGCATCAGAGATTATTAATTATTGATACAGATTCTATTATAAGCTTTTGCTATAATTAACACAGGTTTACTGCGATTACAGTTTCAAAACGGAGTATTTGATTACGCTTAAACCATATTAGTTACATCGTGTTTGTAACTTTGATTTTGTTCACGGTTAAAGATTTTTGTTATCCGTCATTGATTTGGAAATATAAAGACGAGAAGTTATAGGACATCCGAGATTATTGATACAGAGATTATTGATTCTGCTGTAAATATAGCTTTACTGATTATCTAAAATGGAGTATTTAATTGTGTAAATCGTATTAGTTATCTCGTTTAGCATATAAACTCACCGATTTTGTTCATCGCTGTTAAAGATTTTCGCTAGCCTGTCGTTGATTCAGAAATATAAATACGAAGTGTTATACGAATGCATCAGAGTTTATGTTAGAAACTCGATCCGAAATAGCAAGCGACGATTTTAAATTTAGTTTGATTGGCGACGATATAATTGAACTTAAAATATCTGCCTGATCAGCACGTGAATCCGTGATGTCTCGATCGATAGTCGAGTGTGGGTTAATCGTAATATATAAATACGCTCCCCTTTGTTCAGTGAAATTAGGACACTGTATCGAGTATCCAAGATATTAACGATTTCGTACGTACAAGTTTAGCAATCGTTACCGATTGGGTCTATTCAATTAAGTGCTTGAATTAATTACACTGAATGATCCGTTTATCTCGTGAAAAAAGTTCAATGCATCCTTAAAATATGAAGCTTCAACTTAGAATCGTCTTTCTCCAATTTCTTCTACGAATAGTTCGCATTGGATAATCTATCATACATTTAGGCAATGCGATTTTTGACACGGTATAGACATC